TCAGAATACGCTTAGATAATACAACAAAAGTTATAAAAAAGTCTTCACTTTGCTGGCTGTTAGACAATGAAAAGGATCGCGTCAGTGTGAATCGTCTCGAAAGATTTATTCAAAATAAGAAATGTAATAGTACTTAGTAGAGTTAACTCAGAAACAGATACCTGACTTCAACATAAAGATGCGTCTCAAATTCAAAAACCAGTCCAAATTGGAAAACAAAAAAACGCTATAATATATCAAGTGACTCATCTGATTTAGACAACCCAACTAGTATCGAATATGATGACAGCACGGACACCGAAAGTTTGAATTCTTCCAATTATTCTGATGATTTGAATCCTCGTTTGAATCTCAAGGCTGAAAATAGTAAGACTGATCGTTCTAAACCAGACTTAAATATAGACGATTATATTATAGTACAATTAACAACTCAAAAACAAAACAAAAAATGTTACATTGGTAAAGTGTTATCACTTAACCCTATTTTTTGTGATTTTTTGAAAAGGAATCCAAAACTTCCGGATGCTTTTATGTTTCCGGACATTAAAGATCAGGGGGAGATCCAAGAAAATGAATATATAATGAAACTACCTCCACCTCAGGTACTCAGAAGAGGCAGTTTAGTTTTTGAAAAAAATTATTGAAAAAATATTTGATTTAATTCTAGTTTTTTTTAAATGATGTGCCTGGAAGCGGAACTCCCGACTGGTATTTCAGGAAGACCCCGATCGGGAACGATTATTATTCAACTAGTTCAGTCCAACGAATGTCCAGAAAACCCAGCGAAGTTGCGCCGGAATTATTTTGTACATAATCGCTGTAAATGCCAATTATTAAGAAATAAATTGTTGAGTTTAACCCACGCCCATTTTAATCACCACTCAACGTAATAACACTTTTACTGCAGTCTGTTTGTCAAAGCTTCAATAAAAGAAAATAAATATCACAATTAAGGAACTCAGAGAAAAAGCATTGCAAATGACATTTTTATTAAAAATGAGTTAAGTGCTGAACAGTATGTTCACTAATAATGGTTGTGGAGAAATAGAAATAACATACAACGTTAAGCTTTCTATGTTGTTCTCTAAACCCGTACAGATAAAATAGACTGAATGAAAAAACTTCCCGGAATTACTCCCATATATAGATCCACCACATTTACCTTGTTTTTTTTTTTTTTATTTAAACTTTACTGATGATAATAAGTTAATAATAATATAAAGAAGATAACAAAATTTTGTCCAGTAATGAACCTATGTAGATTTTTTATAGTCAATTATTCATATTGGTTGAGTTAGATCTTTTCATTTCGCTATAAATATTTAGTTATTTTTGCAAACTTGTCTTCTTATATTCTTGTTGCTTGTACCACTTGAACTTTATGTTTCTATAAGTAACAAAGTAGGACAAGTATTTTGCATAAAATAAAATTTGTTAAGGTCCCTTATTTTTTTATGTTAAACTTTTACCTTTATTTCAAAATAAGTAAAATGTCACTTGTGCTACTTTTCCTCTGATCCATTCAATTTAGTTTGTTCTTTATAAATAAATCTGTAAGTAAGCCAAGAAAAATGTTGCTGCCTCGGTATGAATCGAACCCCACACGCCCTCCGCTTGCCAGACAGGTATCCTGACCACTAGATCACGAGGCCGCTTATCTTTCTTCGCTTACTACTACTTATTATTGTGTCATCACAAATCGTTTAAACACAAAAAATTGCAATTTAAATAATGTTTTCTAAATACAAAGCAAACATTTTTTATAACAAATAAAAGAAAACAAAATATAAAAGGCACAAAGAGAAAAACAATTCAAAACACCAAAAAATTTAATACAAAATAAAAAAATATCAAAATACAAAAATCTACTATAATTCTAACAAAAAAATAAAAGGCCAAAGTACATAGGTAATACAAAATACACAAATGTTTTATTTTTTACAACAAGGCATACTTTGGTGGCATTTGGAACTGCACACCATTTTTTTTTGTAACACGTACATCTATTGGATGTACATTTTGTTTTACAGTGACATTTTGTAAACCCTTGGCCCGATCCTACCGATTGTTCTGTGGCCACAGTCCTAAGGGGTAACTCCTGCGAACAAACGCTAAATTGTGATATTGCATAGAAGCCTTTCAGAATTTCATTTCTTGTACCCGCTTGAAAACACCATCGTCTGTTTTTTTCATAATACAGCCTATGATTGACCGTGAATCACCTCGACCTCTGTCAACTTCAGGCACCTTTATACGGGCAGACATTCCCTCTTCTGCTGGTGGATGAGAAGCATCAGAAATGATTTCCATTCGCTTGGTTTGGTTTTCTAAATTTTCTTTAGCAGACAACGTTTGGTCTTCATTATTTTGGAAATCATTGCTTTGAATTGACGTGTCGTTTTCCACATTATCTTCGTCCAACATGCTTTCTAAATCCTCTTCAATATTAATTTTTTCAACAATAGGTATCTTGGGGCAATGATGAAGAAGTAAGGTCCACTTTTGCTGGTTGTCCAAACATTGCCTCATAAGGACTTCTGTTAATTCCTGCACGAAGAGCTCTGTTTTTCAAAAACTGCACAAAACCCAATTCTTTACTCCAGTTACATTGGTGTTCTTGGATCCACCTTGCGACTGACTATGGCGAGGTTTGCCATGAACAATTTTCAGTTTGGGTCATAGTTTTCCTAAATCATCTATTATTCTGTTTGCAAACTCTCGTCCATTGTCAGATTGTAATATGGATGGGGCATCGAATAACAAAAATATGTCAAGAAGCTGTTCTGCAACTTCTGCTGTCTGCTTAGTTTTAAGACTTCGAAGAATTACAAATGTGGTTAAATAATCTTGATAAACTAGAATAAATTTAAATTTTCCGTCCACTTGACATTGAAAATCGATCAAATCCACTTGGCACCTGCTTGAACTAAAATCTGAAATAAATATTTTTCTCACTTTTCCGCTTTTTCAAACATTACTAAGCATTGATGAACATGTTTTAATGTCTTGTGTAGTAATGTTCTTGTAGCGTTGTTGTACTTCCTTTTTCAACCTATCACGGTCTTCATGCCCAATTGATACGTGGGTCTCGTACAATATGTCAAATAAGTCTTCAGCAACCACGTACCTAATACCCTTTCTGTGGTTAACAGGGCAATCAGTTTTTCTACCCCATTAACAGTCTGTTATTATATCATAATATTTTAGCAACTAAAAATCCCGGTTTTCTTTCTTTGGCAAAGTTTTTGCCTGTAACTTTAGATAATTGTTTAAATTCATCCGAAAACTATTGGATTTTTGCTTGATTTTTTCAATGCGTTCATAAAACTTTGTTTTTATTGCGGTTTTATCCATTGTAGATAAATTAAATATTAAATTAACACTTAATATGTACATACTACACACCACACAAAAACAATAAATCACAAAAACCTCTAAAACATCAGTAGGTACAATGCAAGATTATGTCACCATGTATTCTGTGGTGCATACTTTGCATACTTTGCAGTTTTAATAGTGTTGAGTTTAATAATGTTTATCGCTGGTTGCGTACGCTCCAAACCGAATGCCTTAACAGATAGAAGATATAGCTTTCCTTGTGGTCGAATGTTCTTACTGCGTCTTGTTGAGATTAATCATTCTACCTCTTCTAATTCTATAACTATGCTACATTATGAGGTCAAGAATACTACCACACAAAACAATGCATTAAGAGAATCTACTAACGTTTTGTTTTTAATTAAAAACGGTGTGGTAACCCAAACTTCCCACCTTAAAATTGACCTTGAAAAAGTTTGAAAGGCCCGCGAAAAATTCAAAAATTCAAAGTTTGGCCTTGGCTGTGATCGTCTCACAAAATGGAAACCAATGATGTAGTCAATCTATGTCGTTGCGAGGATATGCTTCGATGAAGTAATCAATCTTTACGGTTGTGAAGGCATCCTGCGGTGATGTAATCATGATAACGATGATAATAACGATGATAACCACCTAAGGGAAGAAAATATTTTAACCCCCCCGCCAGTTCGCAGTATAACGAATTTTGTTAAGTTAACTCCCGTAAATGAACTATTATCAATCTTGTGTGAAGAATTAAGAGGTGTTATAACGTAACATTTACGCATATGAATCCAGAAACTTATTTATAATTTGTTAAACAAAGAATTATTATAATGACTAAATGAATTTTATGAAATCTCCAGTAAGTGGTTTATTTAAATAATTCTGATTGTTAAATTGTGTTAGCACTAGCTGACGATTAAGCAAAACTAACTTGATTGGTGAATTTACAAACAATAAAACCAATTTACAGCACGTGTTTCGCGTTGAACGAAAGTCCGCACTTTTTTCCGATTAAAAGGCCGCAAGAATTAGCTACACGTGTTGGGGGAAAACTGTGTCGTGATCGTTACGATTAATTTTCGTTAAACAAAGGCTTCCTCCCTTTTTATCAACTACCAAACCAACTAATTTAAACTAGCTCTTACCACGTGTTTACATTCACAAAAACACATCCAGACTGACGCTTCGCCATGCCGCCCTCTGTGTACTAACCAACCCTCTAACTAAAATCTCCTAGCGCTACTAACTGTCCAACTATCCAGCAAGCGTTACTGTGCACCTGGTTGCCTATGTTTAACCATTTATGATTTGATTTTTTTTTCTTTATCAAATTCAAATTATTCAAATGTGATTTCGAGCCGCTGTTAATTAATTTCAGCCCGAAAATTTTGATTTAAATTCGGTCACCACAACGGTGCTTTAATTTGACTCTAAAAACACTCAATTTGAACAAAATAAATTGTCACTACGATGGTGAAATATGATTCGGTTCTATATCTGATAACAATGCTTCAACGAGTCCATCATTTAATCTGTAAATCATTGGCACTCTAAATAATTAAAATAACAAACAAAGATAAAATCATTATTTTTCAATGGTGTTGGCAAAATACAAAATTTTAATACTAGGTCACCGTATTAAATAAAACACAAACAAATAATAATAAATACTTTATATTAGTCAGTTACAGTCACTGCGCAAATCCTTTTTCAATCGCCAGCTTTATGATAGGTATTGTTCTTCTGCGATACTGTTCTTTACTTTTTACAGACCTTATAAACATCTTACCAAAATCTCCATCAGATTCTGCTGCTTCCACTAAATCAGGAACTTCGTCTTGTTCGGACAAACAAATGTTTATAATATTTGGCATCATCATGAGCCCAAACAAGGAATAAGTTTTCCACTGTTTCAGTAGTTCTTCATAAGGAAACATTTGATTAGGGTCACTTCCCATTTCTCTTAAAGAGTCTGACAAGCTACGATAATATAGTTCTACAATTTCGTCAAAATCTTTTATGTCTACTTCAGAAATAGAAGTAAAGAGGAAATAGGAAAGGTCATAAACAGGTGATGCTAATCTGCTTAGTTGGAAGTCCAGTAAACATACATCAAGTAGACTGGACTTGTTGTCCTAAAAATAGAATATTTAATTAAGTATGAAAATTAATTAAATATTATGTTAAATTTACCGCATATTTAAACATAAAGTTGTTATTCCAACAATCTCCGTGAAGAATGACTGCATAAGGATCGTTGGGGTTTGTTATTTCATGCGCGTTTTCTACTTTTTCATGTAAAGAATAAGCTTTTGCAACAACTTCGTGTTCGTTGTCCTCTTCTGCATATTTTATAATGGTCCCATATAGGTTATATGTTTTTGGAGGAGGCTTCATGGTTTTTTTTATAAGTTTAAGGATGTCTACCAATTCTCGTGACAATTGTTTAAATAGATCTGGTTTCTGGTCTCGTAAAGCAAATGAAATAGCATGTAGTTTACCGTACGTCTTCACAACTTTTTCCACGTGGGCCCTATTCATCGGAAACTTGCGATCGTGTAAAATGAAATCTCTTTGCTTGAGATTTTCTAAAATCAACACTTCCATATCCTCCAAAATTATTGTATCGTAACATTTCGGGGCATTATTAAACGGTTCCTTTACACCCTTTTCTTTCTGAAAATCGATGAATACTGGTAGAATTTTGTTGTAGAAGAGCATTTCATTTTCAAAAGCTGATTTTATAGGCATAATGTCACGTAATTCGGTGCTTTTCTTTCCACTTTTGATCACAAAACTGTACACTTTTTCTTCGTTTGTTGCAGATTTGCCACTAACTTCCACAAAGGTTATGTCACCCAGATAGCCATCGCCTTTTGCTGAACTTCCTGATATATTAATTGTGTAGTCTTTTAAACCTTCTTTTCGTAAAGTAGGTTTTAGCCATTCTTCTACGTCTTCTTTCGTGCAACGGTTTGTGGGATTCATGTTGCGGTTTGGAATTCAAAATCTAGACTAATCTGTGGAAGCATCAGGTTGGATTAAATAACCATTGATAACAGCTGAGTAAGTAATTTTCTACAATTATCTTTCTACTTTGAAAAGTCATGATTAATACGATTGTCATGAAAAGTGCAACGTATCACTGGATGGTTTTTATCTTAAAAATACTCAGTAGTCAATCTAGAAATTAAATGTATTTTTTTAAAAAATGTGTGACGTATGGTTACTGAAATAAACAATAAATGCATGTTTTTGTTTTGACCATAAATAAATAATGTATTACATGATAAGTACAGAGCAATTATAAACTTATCTATGTATGTACATGAAACAATGAGGTTTGAGTTTTACGACTTAGACCTTAATTGAAATACCACCTAGTTAAAAATTGAGCACATTATGAGTCACTTTCAAAAAAATAAATACACGCTCCCCAATTTCATAATTTTCCTTTATTATTGTTAAGCTCTCATCATAAAACACGAAATCAGCAAACTATATCTTAATTCCTCAGATCTTAGCGACATCAAATATCTAAAAATGTTATTACAAAATTGAGGGAGTCTTAAACACAACTGAACTGTCATCAGATAAGGACAATTAGGGGAAAGAAGCTCATATGTTTCAAGTTGTAATACAATCTGAATAATTACTTTCCAAATACCCATATTTCTAATGTTAATAACAATGAAGTCTTATGACGATTGTTACGTAATACGATTGTCACAAAATTAATACGCGTGTGTATATATATTCTCAGTTGAAGATGGTCCTTATCATTTCAATGCCATAAAAAAGGAATGTGGAAAATTTTCAAACCTTATCTGCTACACATTATTTTGCTAAAATAAGAAAGCGTGTGCAAACTACTAAAGACATCCTGATAATATCAGCTTTATTTTAAGTGAATAAAGTCGATTGTATCAAGTCGGCATATCCTTCTAATAAATCAAGTGGGTCTGCGGTATGCGACAATTTTTATTGTTGTTTGATAAAGATAAAAAATCACTTGATTTTTTATGTAGATAACAAGTTCATTGATTTGTTATCAATGATTTAGCACAATTCTAAAATGCTAATAAATACTTAATAACAGCTAATGAATGGTTTTCAGGTGTTGAAAAAATAAAAAAACATATACAGTGTTGTAATAAAATATAAAATTTAGATAGGTACCTGCTTTATTCATACTTCTACAAACGTTGATTGTAATGTCCTAATGTCAGAATAACCCTGTACATTTATAGGTCCTCGCATTTACTTCCATTTTAATGACGACCGGAATAATTAGGTCAAGTGAAATGTTATAACTGTTAGTACTTTAGCTTGTGTTTAATGAATCTTAATTTTTAAAGATAAAATAAATAAACCACATATTTATCTCAAAACATATTATTTTAATCCCTAGTAGTAAAATATTTCTAGTTAAATATTACTTACTATATAAATAATTTTAATATATCAAAAATGATAACCCATCGTTAAAAACTACAATCACGGTGATCACAGTGACTGTTCTTCCTCAGTCACGATGATTTTAGACGGTGATTGTGATGACGCTTCCGACAAGTAACGGTGTATGATAAAAACAGCGATTGGATACTTCGATCGTTGTTCTTTCTAGTCACGATGATTTTACATGGTGTGGATTACATTTTCGATAAGTAACGGTGTGTTGTGAAAACAGCGATTAGACACTTATTACCTGAAAATACCGATGCATCCGTAAATGAAAAAAAGAGTGCGTCGACCCAGGGACACACGGATGGAGTTTTAACTCTGCATTGTCAATTTATATAAATTAAACACGTACACGCGGTGGAGTAATTAATTTTCTCTTAAAAAAAAAAAACAAAAATATGTTGTATTTGTATTTTTTGACACAGTGATGATTAATGATGATGATTGGGTTAATTAAAGTAAATATCCATGTATTGCCTATGTTTAGATTCAGTTCAGACAGGTGTCGGTGTCGGTGTCGAACTCGACATCCCATTCCGGCGCGCGTAGTACACGTGTACTATAATACGAAAACAAAGGAGATCAAACTCCAATAATAACAATTGGTAGATGATGCACAAAAATTAAAATGGTTATGAAAGGAATATAAAATCGGAATTCACCGTTCACTCATTCGAATTCACAGTGATTTATTTTAAAAAAACGGTCATCGTGAAAAACGGATTACGGTGAAATAATCTCCCACAGTGAAATATCGTACATGTCTATTAAAAACTGCATTGCCAAATGAAATGGTGGTATCCATTTTACTTCAGTTTAAAACCTTAATTTTTTACAAATAAACTATGAATATTTTTAATTTTTGTAGTAGAAGTAATGCGTGTACTTAAAACTTAATAAATAAATTAGAAAAGATTATTACTTACTACTTGCAAAACCCCATCATGAATTGGATGATAAATACATGGTAGTAATCTTGACGTGGTCGTTGACAATGGAATTAAATTCGTACTGTTGTTATCGAGCTTATTAACTTAAAATTTATTATTTATTTTAATTGCTCAACAGACCTTGAAGGCTAGAACATATGTGCAAATATAATGTATTTATTTTTTGGGTAAATTAGTGCACTATTATTTCTCCATAGACTCCACCTGTTTCTTATTTTTCACTTCCAATTCATGTTCTGTTCTAGCTTCTGGTCCGGTCTTTCTCTCGACCTTCCATTTCTTCCCCTCCCTTAGCTGTTTTCCTGTTCAGGACTAACTTTGGCATTCTTATCCTATTCACTCGTTTCACATGTCCCACTTATATGAATCTTTATATCTTAACATAATTATACTTTCTGTATAAGATTTTTGATTATTGGTTTCTTAAAATTTGTTTTTCTACCGCCCACGTTTTTTGGTTTTCTAATAGAGCTATTAACGCACGCAAATGACGTCACAGCAGTTCGTTAATAGCGGAAAGGCGTTCTTTAATAGATCTGGTGTAATTTAGATCGGTAAGATTGGTAGCAATGACGAGAAATGTCAGGTGAATGTCAGTGGCAAATCTAAACTTAAAATTTCCCACGTTTCCGGACGCGTAACTTCTTCGCAAGACATTTTAACTAATTTTAAATTACGAAAACTCGAATTGATTCGAATTACAATTGTTGTTGTGAAAATTCGAACCTCAAATGTTTCGTGGTTAGTGTCAGACCACGAAACAAAAGTCCCCAGATTAAAAAAAATGCAAATTTTAATTAAATTTTGGGAAAAAACGTGTGCGGTAGAAAAAATAGTATAAATAACTCGTTCATAAGGCCATTGAGGCACTCATCCTTTATATAACTCGCGGCTTCGCCGCTCGTTCTATAAACTTGGATTCGTGCCTCAATATTTGCCTTATGAAACTCGTTCTTTAATATACTATTTTCCATCTTGTTTAACATATTGTGGTGATCGAATTCGAATTAAAATTTCGTGCTGAAATAAATTAACAACAGCGCGAAATCGCATTTGAATAACAAAAAAATCGTTAAACATAGGCAACTATGTGCAGGTTAGCGCTCTTTGGGTAGCGGGTAGTCCTGCTGGGGATTTTAGTTAGAGGGTTGGTAGGAACAAGATGGCTGCCTGGTAGAGAGAGGTGAAAGCGTCATTTTTGGTGTGTTTGTTGTGAGTGTAACAACGTGATGAGTCAGCTTCGTTAGTTAATAAAAGGGAGGAAGCCTTTGTTTAACGACAATTAATCGTAACGACGACGACGCCACATTTTCCCAAGACGCGCAGTTAATTCTGCCGCTTTCTAATCGGAAACAAGTGAATTTTTGACGGGCGCTAACACGTGTAAATTTGATTCATTGTTTGTAAATTCATAGATCAGGTTAGGATTTTTAATCGTTAACGGGTGCTAACACAAATTAATAGACATTAGATTTATTTAGATAAATCACTTACTAGGAGATTTCATGACATTCACTTAGTCAGGATTAACAAAGTTACGAATAACGTTTCTGGATGCTAATACTTAAGTGTTACATTATAACACTTCTTAATTTTTCACACAAAATTGCTAATAGTTCATTTACGGCAGTTAAATTAATAAAATTCATAATATCGTGGACTGCGGGACGAGGGTATTAAAGATTTCTCTCCTTATGCAGTTATCATCGTTATTATCATCTTATCATCATCACATCACCGAGATATTTCTCTCGCAACGTGCACAGCTATATCACCGAGAAAGTTTGATCGCAACGCCTGATGGATTTTGTGTTTATTTATCATGTGTTTTGTTTGGGGAAAATATTCCACGATATAAACCTTCAAAACAAATTGTTTTAAGTAACCAATCACTTGGATCATAGCATAATGTAACATCATATAAATTCTTTGTTTGAATCGTTGATAAAGTGTGGCAAATATTAATGTCATGTAAATTTGTTAGCTATGCAATTTTCACGTCATACAATATTTCTCTATCTCACAATTTTAACTTCAGTAATTTTCTTTGTTGTATAATAATTTAAATTGTACATAAACTTTCATGCTATGCAGTTTCTAACTTCACGTATTCTTCACAAGTTTCCATCATAATCAATGCATCATATAAATTATTTGATGTCCAGCTTTCATCTCAAATAAGAATTATTCGTTGTTTAAAATTTCACAAGATTGTTTGGCGAATTTACATGATGTTTATTGCTCCTTTTGAAACTTTGACACTTGTTCAGTTGTAGGTTAATATCAGAGTAGTAAGAATTGAACATATAAATGGAATTGAGGTTAAATAACACAGAAACACATGGTGGAAGCGCAGTTCGCGGTTCCTAGTCGACCTGGCGGGATTTATGGCCCCATCTGCACCAAACATGCATGTTAGAAAAAAAATCAGGGGCGTCGAGATGACGTAATGCTTCGTAATAGCCGGGACCCAACTGCGAGTTTGCGACCGTAACGGTCTGCTCGTCTACGCACTCTTGGAGTGCTGGGCGACAGTGCTTGCGATAGATAGAATCACCGTCGTGGGTAGGAGAACAGCCACGACCAGGAGCCCCAAAATGCGCTCATGCTACAACCCCCCTATGGATATTTTTGCAGTGCTTTAGAAGGAAATTGACATAGTTCGATCGCCACACACTTATAGCGCTCTAATGCCGCTGCATAGATTTTCATTAAAATTTTGTGCTCTTGTTGACTGTCATATTTTAAATTTGCCGCCACACGTCTATATAACGTGTGTATTTGCGTCCAGTTACTTTAATTCAGATTTTGCTTTGTTTTTATTAAATTTGTGATTTTCAAATATTTGCATTGATTCAGAACGTTTAATTTGATTTCATTCCAAGTCATTCAAAGTTTTTTTTGGAGCTGAGCATTAAGCGGTGTCCTCACCCTAGACAACTTAGTCGCAGTTTTTTTTTCTTTTTTTTTGTCAGTGGAGGAATAAATACATTTGTGTCCTCCAGGTTTTTTGTGTTTCCTGGGGTCCACCGTTTGCATCTGAACGCACCCCGCCATTTTTCAAAACACAATGTAGGGTTCCATTTTGTCAGTCGCTCACAGCCAAGGCCAAACTTTTGAATTTTTGAATTTTTCGCGGGCTTTTTATTTTTTTTTACATGTCAATTTAAGGCGGGATGTTTGGGTTATCACAGTATCCTCTTTCATTCTGTTTAGTACCCAGATCTTATATGTACATTACTATCCCATCATTTTATAAATATTATTTTTGTCATGCTAGATATATTGTTTGGCTTCATTGGTACCTTTAGGCTACCAAGGTTTTGATTTCCTTTTGGTATTCTCGTCTTAATGTTCTTACTCTTCATATGGTTTTCATCTACATATTACTACTACTAGGCATACGAAACCATTTATTTTTTCAAATTCATAATCTGCTGCATTATCGATGTACTTATTTTGTTTTTTGTGTTTTTTTTTTGTTAGATTCAAACTCAACGTTTATTGGTTTCGTTAGCATTTTTTTTTCGTAGTTCTCTGTAGGGCTTTCTTAGATTTTGTTAATAAATTATTATCAATTCCAAAGCCATTGCTTACTTCTTATATCTCACTGGTTCTTCATATTGTTACGAAAGAACACATACGCCGCCCCGGTACAACACCTATGGATTTTCTAGTATGTGCGACGACGGGTGACTCATTGTTGGTGACGGCGGTCGGACGGCGTATGCTAAAGAAAAGCCTGGAAGCGGAAGTCGCGATGGGTGCTCCAAAACAAGCCTAGAAGCGGTGACAGCGACCTTTCGAGAACAATCGCGTGGCTGTTTAAATAGGAACTACCATCGGAAGCAGTCAGTGAAGTCCGGGAGAAGTAGAATCTAGTCAAATCCATTCCGGTCGGAATTATTCTGTATATAATTGATGTGTAATTAGTCGTGTAAATTTAAGTTACCAAGTAATAAGTTCTTGAATTCTACCCGCGCCCATTTTAATTACCGGCCATCGTAATGACTTAAACTCTTTCGAAACTGTTGTATTATTTGTTTCTTCCAAAGTCATTTTTTAGTACTGCCATTTCCCTCTACGTGTTACAATTTCTCTTTGTCAGTTATGTCGTATGGCTGTACAAAATATATAAACATGGGATGTAGTTTCATCTCATAAGTACTTTATCTCATATGATCTAAAAAAAAAGTAGTCTAGCAACCTTGTAACTTTAATGTTAAAAAACTTATGTTGACAATACGAACCCGTTCCTTGTTCTTTTTAATCAGTTTTACATGTTCTGTCAGATAAAATGCCAAATAATTATAACGCCAAATTCATTAATTAAAAAAAATCTCATAGCTTACTAGAGGACATATTTTTTATCATATTTTGCCATTTCCAAATCCAATTTAAAGGAATTTGGTTTTTCACGTTGAGCAAAATATACCAATTAATTGATGATGATTACCTGTACATCCGAGTAATCAAATTATGCAACCAAAAGTGTCCAAGACAGTAGAATCAATTCAGTTTTTTTCTCAATTATTTGTTGATATATTACGATGTTCTACATAAAGTAATACGAAACACTCATTAGGTTAACAAAAGTTTTGAATAAATAAAATCGTTTCGAATAATTTAACCATCCAAATAAGCCGACTATTATTAGGTGAAAAGGTATTCATTTTCGTTAATTTTCGTACTTAATAATAATAATAATTATTATCGCTATTATAAATTACACAATAGGTCTACAGTTATTTAGACACAACTTCCCTGAGGCGTGGTAAAACATATCCAGCTTTTTTGAAGAATAACCACTATAAGTTGAAATAAAGATGTGTATTATATATGTATATATAATTAAAAATCTATTGTTTTTAATGATAGAATCAACTGTGATCAATTTTACTTCCCGAGCGTAAGCAAAGGAAGTATTGTAATCGAGTCCGTCGGCCGACTCTCTACTTTTACGTTTTCTCGATCTTTCATGACCCCTAGAAGACGAAGAAATAGGTCTCCCATTTCCGTCTGTCTGTCCGTCTGTCCGTCTGTCCGTCTGTCCGTC